ACTGTATTCTCACTGACTGCCCTCTGCCCTCTCTATTTCTTATCTGTGAAACTAAAGCAATACTGCCTTTTGGCAATGTGTTTTCCATGTGAAACTGCTGGGAAAGAGCAAGTGCTCTTTATTGCTACTCACAGTTGATACACCTAAATTAGGGAACCTGAGAAATGAACACATGGATGTATGGCCAAGGAGAAAACTAAACTGCACCCTGTTTGGACCTCCATTCATGATATGGGGCTTGGGAGATGTGGCCAAACACACTCATCCTACAGTTTTGGGACAGTCTGTGTAGCAACTGGCCTCAGCCTTAATCCCTGATAATTAAGGGAGAGAAGGAGAGAACTGAATTTCTATAAATGAATGGAACTTCTCCAAGAGTACTGGTCCAAATGCTCAGAACTGGATACATGCTAGAAATGCAAGTTGTGTTTACTTTCCACTACTAACATACACAAACCAGAAGCTCAAAGTAAAAATGCTTTCCCATGTTAGCATTTTCCTTAATCTTGTTTGGAAAGAACAGATGTATGAATGATTTTACACACCTCTATTGAAAGTGTCTGAAAAATGTCATTGCATGCCACCATTTCTGTCAGAAGAACCCAGGTAGCAGAGGATGGATGATTTATGTGATGCTGCACTGTACTGACACAGATTAGCATAAACATCAGTTTAACAAAGGATGTTAAAACTATCTTCTAATACAGTTTTCATGTGAGACCATGTATAAGACAGCTAAATAGAATAAGAAAAGGATCAAAAAAAGGTAAAGTGAAGACAGGTAACAGGCAAAATTCTTTTTTATACTTAATGTCTTTTAATTTAGTAATTCAAGACCCATGTGCTTCTTGAAACACAGTCATAAAATCTATAAAAGCAGCCAAACCAGTCATACAAATTATTTTGGAAAACTCTGTTTTCATGTCTGCAGCACACAGCTAGTGCTGAGGGTCACTGCAGGCTTACAGCCACTCCCACTGAGACAGGGATTTGGTTAATGGGACCTCAAACTACTGGACTATCCATTGATTCTAATGCTTTTCAGTTCATGACTCCTTTCACCGAAATGAACTTTCTGAAGATAGGGTGAGGATATTCTTTTTCAAGATCTGACATTTACTTTTCTCCTCTTCCAATACACTGAAGTAATCTCTCAGTGGAGATCACAACAACACACGATTGAATAACCCAGCACTTCCTGCCGCCTTCTTCATTTTCTAATTTGTTTTTGCACACACCCGAACTCAAAAAGGTCAGCTCATGAACACTGCACATTCCTTTTGTTCTTCAGAGCTAGGCAGGTTTGGAGCGCTGAGCACAGTGCTCCAAAAAAATGGCACGTGAAAATGGGCACATGTGAGCTGCATTGCAGCCGTGACAGTTGTGCTGCATGGGGCACCTGGGCACTGGTCCCCTCTTACTGACAGCTCACACAGTCAGCTGAGGCTCTGGATGGAACTCAGGTGGCACTCACAGAGAGTTTATAAACTTTGGAAGAAGGGACAGCCACTTGGGAAGACTATACAGCCTTTGTGGTGCTGGGCGGAGAGGAAATCAGAAGGGCCAATGCCTGACTGGAAGTTAATTCGGCCAGTGCCCTAAAAAGACAATAAAAACTGTTTCCATCACTACAGTAGCAACAAAAGGAGGGCTCAGGAGAACCTTCAGCCTTTACTGGATGGGGGAAAAGTGACAGTGACAGGAGGAGGAGGGAGGCAGTGAGGTACTTAATGTAAGGCCTGCTACAGTACCCTGATCTCCTCCTAGGACAAGATGACCCACTCAGCAGATGAAAGGCTGAGAGTCTCAGTTCCTTGGAGTTTAGTCAAGTTCTTAACACTGTTTCTAACAGCAAGTTCCTGGAGAAACTGACTGCTCATGGTGTGCTCTTTGCTAGGTAAAACACTGGCTGTGGGGCTGGGCCCAGTGTGCAGTGGGGAACGGAGCCACATCCAGCTGGGGACAGACACCAGCAGTGTTCCCCAGGGCTCAGCACTGGGGCTGTTTTGTGAGGAGTGACTGGGAATGTGATGGGTCTGGAGAAGAACAAGCTCAGGGGTGATATCACTGCTCTTACATCTTGCCTCGGAGGGGAGGTGGAGAGGGAGTTGCTGATCTCTTTTCCCTGGGACCCAGTGACAGGATACAAGGGAGCACTCTACCCATTCCTCTCTACTGCTCCATCCTCATCATGCTCGTCCCCCGCTCTGGCAGGGAGCCCCTTCCAAAGGCTGTAGTGCTTTGGGATAAACCTGCTGCTGCAGGGCCACTGCACAGCCACATGCTCTTCAGGACATGTCCATGTGCTCCAGCAAGGGAGCTCTGTGACACATGTACAGATCCCTACTCTGGTGCCAGGAGCACCTCATCTTCCTCCTCCTCTGGCTCCTCATCCTCATCCTATCAGGTTGCTGTTGGCAGGGCTGTTCCTCAGAGTTCTTTCCTCCCTCATCACTCCCCCTTGCAGCATTTTCCCTTTTCTCACAGGCCTCCCCTGCAGCCCCACTGCTGCCAGGCTTGGACACCTGGGCCAAAGACACCGCTCTGCCTGTGCTAGGAGTGACTTCTCAGGGCCTGGGAGACACAGGCAACGCTCCCACCCTGGAAAAGGAGTGCAGGGAGAAAAGCAGAAGGTCTGTGTGCATGAGGCTGTCTCCCAGCACCCATCAAACCAGAGATGTCTGAGCCTCCAGCTGTGGGTCAGGATCTGATGGTCAGAAATAGGTGACACAACAGCTTCTGCAGGCCTTTGGGTGTTCCAGTTTATGGGACCATCCTTATAAAAGGAACAGTCTGAAGGAAAACAGGAGATCCCTATGATGGAATGCTGATTTCAGCAGCACCTGCTGGAGCATATCCAGAGAAGGGTAACAAGGCTGGTGAAGGGTATAGAACACAAGTCCTATGAGGAGCAGCTGAGGGAGCTGGGGGTGTTCAGTCTAGAGAAGAGGAGGCTCAGGGGAGACCTTATCTTATTCTTCAACTCCCTGACAAGAGGGTGTAGCCAGGTGGGGGTTGGTCTCTTCTCCCAGGCAATCAGTGACAGGACAAGAGGACATATTCCTAAGGTGCACCAGGGGAGGTTTAGTCTGGGCTTTAGGAAAAAGTTCTTCACAGAAAGAGTCATTGGGCATTGGGGTGGGCTGCCCAGGGAGGTGGTGGAGTCACCACACCTGGAGGTGTTTAAGAAAAGACTGGATGTGGCACTTAGTGCCATGGTCTAGTCGAGAAGGTGGTGTTAGATTAGACAGTCTGATTTCTACTCTGTCAACAAGGAGTTAATTCCCTACTGAGTCTCAAGGACCAATAACAAATGAACAAATTAGAACAAAATGTGGCTGGAGAGAGGGCACATGAAGAGATAGGGCAGCATTTTTCTCTGAGGTCTGGAAAAGAAGGAAAGCAGCTGAACTATATACTGTTATTGAGGCAGGTGCAGAAACAGTTACAAGAAAAGGAGAAGAAACAAAAATTAGAAGAAAAGGTAGAGATAATGCTGAAGCAGGCTGCTAATCTCCCAGCACTGTCTGGATTAGAAAACTAATTACATCTCCTGAAGGAAATGGAAATGGAAATACAGGGAGTGATGCCGGTGATAAGGAACTAGGGGAAAATGATCCTTTATCACTTTGAAATCCTCCCTGCCACGTGCATGAAAGCCAGATCCACTACAAAACCTTGGGGTGGATGGGGACACCATGCCCAAATAATTACCCATTTCAACCCAATTTCAGGTGGCTGATTTGCAAGAGCCCTAATCAGGCAGGACTGATATCCAGCAAATGGAATCCTATCAATGCAGGCATAATAATGGCCCATACATTCAGATTTCAGCTGGTTCCTGTCAACAATAAAATTTCTATCAAATACGGGAGAACAACACTCAATATTAATGCAGCAGGATGCTGAGAAGTTCGGTGTATGACCCAGATGGCAGAGTTAAAATCACCAGAACAAATGGAGCAAGTGTTACATGCTGAACTGCAAACTTGGGGCTCCTGGGTGAGAGCAGATGTCAGCCACTTTGCAATTTAAGATCACAATGAAAACACTTTGGGTTTCAGTGTTCTGAATTATGGAACCAGCATCTGCTGGACAGCAGCGTGTGGTCCTTTGGTTTGACTTTAACCCTGACACTAAAAGAAATCCAGAGGGTGCAGTGCACTTGCTCCATGGGGTGCCTGTACTCCCTGTTTCAAGGATTGCTGGTGTATCACAGTGCTGGATTTTGTTGTGGTGCAAGACAGAATTCCTAAACCTGATTTGGCCCCACTAACAGCTGCAGTACCAACACTGCAAACCTAACAGCCACAATAAAAGCAGCTGAGTGCTGGGGCGTTGATGGTGGTACCTGACTGCAATACAAAACTGTAAAAAATTCCTTGTCTCTGGGAAATCCATGTGAAACCTGAGATGACAGACAGAAGCAGTCACTAGAGGGAGACAGTGCAATTTCATAGAACAACAACTACAGAAAACTTTTCAGCTGGAAAATTAATAAAAAGCCAGAAAATCCGTGCCTGTGGGTCTCATGGGTTAATTCGCTGGTATTACCTTGCCTAGTGAACTCAGAACTACAGGATCAGCAATATTTGCCCATGTTGGAAGAAGACAATAGATATGGGGAAAAAAAATAACTAGCTTGTCTGTTTTTCTGTCATAAACAGTATTCACTTTTAAAATGCTTTTTCTGAGAGGCTAAGAGAAAATAGTCAAATTTTTCACAGTCTTTCTACCTGTGTATCTATTGCATGACTAAAAACTCTTCTACCTCAAGTGATAATTCCTTTTATTTTGCATTTTTAGCCTCTAAATTAATTACTTTTCATTTAACCATGAAGAAATTTAAGGCTCTGGTCTACATTTTTCTAATCCCTTCTGACTTCTGATCTATGAAGTATTTATGTACTTATATACAATACTTATGTATTGTGATGCACAAATTTATTTGAAAATGACAGACAAGCTTCTTCAGGAACAAAAACTTTGTGACCTACAAGAAATTAAGGAAACATGACGAGGCGGTGATAGAAATACATTTGTTATGCACTGGATTTAAAACACATTCAATTTTAAGTTTTAAGGTTGAGGCAGGAAAGTTTACAAATTCACAAACTGCAGTCGTTCTTCTTCCTTCTCAATTCTTCCCTGTAGTTCTCTGTTTCATCCTTTTCCCCACTCTTCTTTGCCTTATGTTGCCTGTGTCAGCATCATTGATGACCTAAGGTTTAGCCTGGTGAGTATGTCCAGTTACAGACTGATCAGATGAGTCTAATGAAAGATGCTATGAGAGGGGCAGCACAAACGATGATTATTTCACAAACAGCTTCAGCAGGACTAAGACCTGGATAAAACAAATTGCTCACTGTATTCTTTGCCAGGAGTTCCTGGGTCAGTGAAGTCAAGAGGTTTAACAGTAATGAGGAAATGCTGACAAAAGTGACTGAGTGAGGATTGGCAGCAAAATACTAGTCCCTGATAGGGACTGTAAAAGGATTGAAGATACATTTGCCTCCAGGATCTCCTCACACTTCTCAAAGGTTTTTCCAATACAGAAAACTCCTATTAGTTTAGCTGTGCTGAGTTAACAATATCCTTCCATGAGAGAATTGTTTATGTTAATCTAATCACCGTTATTCATTTACAGAAGTATTTACACCAGGGGCTACCTAGCATGGCTATTTCAGTTTTTATAAAAATAATAACTAAACTGACACAAACCTGATTTTAGATGGACCTAGAAGCATGAAAAATCAGCACTGGATGCAGAAGGTGCTAGTCCAAAACAAGACATTTGTAAGATGTTTTACCGATATCTATGATGAGTATCATTTATGGAGCAAATGCTGCTGCCCAAGGCCTGCTTTCTACTTGTCTTTCAGACCCTTTTGAGAAAAAACTAAAACATAATCAGCTTTAAACTATTTCGTGTTCTGAGTCTTCAGGGGAAATGATAATTCCTCATGCTTCTTCTTCTGCCACTCATGAGAGCACTGAAAACATCATCCTTGCTAGTTCTGCTTGCAGCCTCCAAGGGCAGCCCTCGAGTGTGACAAAGAATGTTTGTGGTTTTCTTTTACTAAAATCACAAGTTTGCTTTTATTGTTAAAACTTTAAGAAAAAAATCCCTTATCCTCTCTTCAATCCTTTCATCTGCTTAAATCTTTTCCAAATGACAAAGGTAATTACATAAATTACAGACAGTGAAAAGTGATGTATTCATTTACTCAGGGATGAAAATGAAGGGAATGAATATTCAAAGCAGTGCGATGTACCACTGTGTGAGGAAAAAACACATCAGCAAACTGAATGAATTGTTTATTGGCAGCATCTTTGAACTGCATCTGGATTTCATGAGAAATAATGTCACTTGAGACCTAGTTCTCACTGATGTCACCTATCAGATGGAAGAGTGAACTGCCAGCTCCTGCCTTTCACCAGAAGCAAAATCCCACACAGAGCAGTCTCCCTCCTAAATTCACAGGATCTGGGCAGGTTCTGTAAGAATTAACATTTCTTGTGGAAACAGTTTCTGCTAAATTTGGTTTAGGTGCACTTCTGCCTCAACCCCATGCATTACACATTTTCAATATATTTTTAAAAATTCAAAGAAAAAGCGCACTTCAGAAACCCTACAGTTGGCATACCTTGTTTTTTTCCCCAAATCCTTGCCCCTTGTCACAATACTCTGCATTTTTCTTAGTTTGGGAAATCACTGTGGTGCTGCCTTGGATGGAGAGGTGAATTCACCCGCCTGATCCAACACAAAGAGCATGAAGGCTCTATGATGATGAATGTGATATGTAAAAGAAACAAGGTCTGCTAAGCCACCAGTGAGTGGTACACCCCTAAAGCAGGATGGATTTGAAACCCTCCACAAAACAGACCTTTCTTGTCTCTGAGGAAGGATCTCTTCCTTTTTTCTCCTTGAGCTCTGATTTGTGGTTTTGCTTGAGGGAAGAGAGCAGGCTGCTTGAATCATTTCAACTAACTGGTTTCCATGTCTTTAGAGCTGCCAGAACAGGCTTTTATGCCATTTCCAGAACTCTGCCTGTACATACTAGACAACAAAAATTCTTCAGATGGGAAAGCAGATCAGATTTGGGTGAGAATTTGCATGAAGTTCCTAAAGCAGGTGAACTAGCTGTCCAGATTAGTGTGCAATCCACAGATAATTACACATTTTGGGCTCTGCTCTTGTTTCCATTCTTTTAAAGCCTCTCTCCTCATGGGTGCTTCTTTGGCACAGGAATAAAAGTTTACTCACAGAAATACTTTCAATGTTTATTTCAGAGTAACCTTACTGGATTTACTTACTTTCTGACAATTACTTCTGTCACTTCAAAATACTGTTAATAACTCAGATAAGTAGCAAGATAAATCCATTATTTATTTATATTCACTTGCTACACCCAACTTAATTCAAGGTGTCATCTACAGATAAAAGCTTTTGCCACTAATTTCATACCTTCTGTATGACACAGCAGACATTTGGTGAGATCACTAGGCTGAAAGTCTCTGTAACCCATGTTATTTCTAGCTTTTTATTGTTTCTGAATGCCATGCATTACTGTGGGTACAGTTTCTGCAAATGCATTAGTGTTGGAAATCCCTAGATCGTTGTAAATTAGGGAATATTCCTTTTATTTTCCAACAGGTATTATTTGATTGTCACTACAAACCTCCCTATCTCTGTTGCAAACTGCAGCATATTTTTTTCCTTGTTATTTGAAGGCATTCATCCAAAATTCCATGCTACCAAACATTAATTTGTTAAAAAAACAGTCTGGTTTTCTTCTACCACAATGTTTTGTTCAGTCATTGTAATGACTATTCATATCCTTACCCAAATTGCCATTATACTAACATGGCCTCATATCCTCACTGCAAATGCTCCAACTACCACATGCAGAACAGTTGCTGTTGGAAAATGTGCTCTAGACCACTTCAAAGCTATTAAAATGAGGCATCAATCCAGCTTTTACCAGAAGTGCTTCTGAAGTGTTGCTTTTTTTTTTTTCTAAATTGTTTCTTTTCTCTTCTGGTTCTTCCTGAATGTGAAATTAAAAGCAACGAAGAAGCATCTGTGGCCTGTTTTGCAGTTTCTGCTGCCCTCTGATGGGTGCAGTGATAGAGCAGCTTTGGGAACTCACTGATTTTACTGTGTTGAGCTTGTTCGACGTAAGGGATTTAGGCCCCTTTTCCTGCTCCCCAAGTGAATACTAAGCAAATACAAGAAAATACATGAGTTGCTGTTTATGCCCTCTCTTTCTCAGGTAGTCATTTGTATTGGTGTAAAGGAAAGGAAAAGAAAATATAGCTACTACCTTCTTGAAGAGAAAAAAATAAAAAAAGGATTTTAGGTTTCAGCTTTGGCATGGTTCATACTTCAGCTTAAGTGTGTGCCTCTCTGAAATCAGTCTAAATATGGTGCACCATGAGATTAAGCAGTGCATGCTTGCTCTACATCATGAGTAGCTTACCAGTTTCAAGCTGTCCTTATTAAGTTTGAAGCCTCTCAAAGACACTCTTTTTGCCACACCTTGTCAGATGGATCCGGGTCCCACTTTAAAGTCCTTGCTCCTCCTAATTGCATGTGTGGTAAGAGCCAAACTCCAGTCTGCAACATGAGCCTTGCACCAAGTCTTGATCCACTGAAGCACCCACTCCTGCCCAAACATTTCCCTCTCCCTGAAAGGGCTGAGAACTCCACTCATGTCCCCTCCTGCACCATATTGGTAGTTACTGATGGAAAAAGCCGCGTTCTTTTTCAAAAGGTACAGCCATTATGCTGCATCCTTGACCAGGTCTCAAGAAGAGTCTGGGTGGCAAACCCAAAAAAAAGCTGTAACACCAGTGACAAATTTGACAAGCATCAGCAAAGACAACAGTATTAAACATGATCTTAATTTGTGACATGCCTTTGAAGCTATGCTACATGCTGAGAATGCTGACACCATAATCATGGCATGTTCTGTGCCCTCATCTGCACTGCTCTGCATACAACATGAATGGGCAATCTCGCTCAGAACTGAGAGAAACCAAATCAAAACCAAGTTAAATATATATATTTACTCATGTCACTGATGAAAATCAGCAGGTAAGAAAGTTTAGAACAGCAAGAGGTTTTCCTTCGAAATAAATAAAATAAATTTCCACAGTATATTTTTAACATATTTTCGTTCTCTTGAAGGATTTCTAATAAGGATTTACAGTGAAATCTCCTGTTTACTCTTATGTCACACATAGACTCGACAAAATGAAGTCAAATCTTCTCTCTGTGACTCATTGTGGTAGCCAGGCCTTGGTTCTAATTATGACAGGTACAGTACTTGCTACTGACAGTTCTTTTAGCCATTTGGATTTCTGTTAAGGCCACTGGCAAGGATGCTATTTGTTTAATTAACTTTCTGGACACCACTTTCAACTGTAATTACTCCAACCTGGACAAAGACTTTATCTACAGAATGTATTAAAATATCATTTCTGTCTGATAACTTTTCCTCATCTCAATCAGCTTTAGCCTGTAATATGTATACAGTTGTTTACTGTGCTGCAATTTTGCTTTCTTTCTGCTTTTTAGATTCCATTGCTATGCTTGGGATGTGTTGAAGGCTTCAAAGTAAAATAGTCTGCCCTCTAATGAATTTCTTTCAAACCTGATGCATATATAAAGAGAATATAAAGATTGATATCCATCAAACTTGATGGATATATAAAGAGATATATAAATGGGATACAATTAGAGCTAAACAGTTATTAATAGAAGTTGGGTTTTTTTTATTTCCGCCCCTGAAAAGCAGAATCTAATCAAGAATATTTGTATAGCCCATGCAATCCTGTACGTTGCCTACACTTTGAACACGAAAAGAATCAACACGTTCACAGAAGCAGGGAAAAAAAAACAAACAAGGATGAAGGTTTTTTTGATTTGCAGCTAGAAACCTTACACTATAAAGAGGCAAATGAAAACCGAAGTGAGCTACTTTCTGTGTAGAAAGAAGATGAAACGGTGCCAGATGTGGAAAGATTCTAGCAGTGAAGAGTCCAGGTTTAACACCAAAAAGGCCAACTGAAGCAACTATAAGCCACCTTTTCAGTACTTCTAGAAAACTTTAGAAATCAAAGCCATTGAAACCAGATTAGAGATTCTTAATAGCATTCCGAAAATGAAGCAGCTACTGAAGGACACCTTAACACAAACATAACCCTCTTTAAAAAGGCCTGGGGTGGAGCTAGGAAATTATAGACCAGTTTGACCTTGGTGGTAGGCAAGATCCTTAAGATATTAATAAGAGATGAGATCACAAGGAACACAGACTGTGCAAAGTGATTAATTGACATAATCTACTTGGATTTCAAAAAAGTATTTGACATAAAACTGTAGATTAATATACAATGGTAACAAGCACAACATAGAAGGTGTCATCCTTGAGCGACTAATGAGAAGCACAGGTACACCCTATATCTACCCCTACTATTGGCACTCGTGGAGGAGGTATGATAAAATGTCATTCATTTAACATACAGGCTGCAGACTGAGACTAATTTGCCATTCTAAGGCTGTTGGTCTTTTAAAGATACAGGGGACACATTTTGCTCTCAGTCCCTCAAGTGAAGTCAGTTGAGATTTACCACAGTGAGTGCTGAAGGCTATATATATTCTGTGTTAGGTATCATAGTTTCCTGTCAAACTAAATCATTTTGATTTGTTGGTATTTGTTTGGGTTTACAGCAGTGGGGATAAGTATTTAGCCCTTGTTTAGCATTGAGTTCTTTGATGGTCACTTTTAGGAACCTGATTTGGTGTCCTTTGTTTATATCAATATAAATCCTGGACAAACCCAAGAAAGATGTTCCATTAAAATGAATAAGGAAACCTAGCACTGAAAGCATTACATGTATACTTTGGGCGTGGCTGTCTGCAAAGTTAATTGCATCAACTACAAGGGAGAAATTGGCTTATGTAGCTTCTTTACTGCTGATCCCTTGTAATGCCAAAAGGAAGTTCCAACCATTTACAAGCTGATGTATATAAAATGTGAATCCACTGGGATGCCATAAGTCTCCTTTGGAAACCCTGTCACCATCAACAGCTCAGGCTAATATCAGCAACTGCTGTGATAGTTGTTCAGAACAGTCATTCCTTTTCCAAAGTGTAAAGTTGAAATGGCAAGATAAAGTTGCTGCTTACACTCGTGTTGTTGCTTCAGCTGGTTATATTTATCCCATTACTACTGGAGAGCTTGGCAGTCACTGAAGCATCGTGATGAACCAAAGTTAATGATAGCAGGGAAGCCAGCTCTGTTCCAGATCTGTCATGTGGATGTGATGCCATGTGCAGCGGACTGCAGTATCAATGAAAGGATCAGAAAGGAGTCAGCTGACCACTACAGATTCAGTTCCTGAAAACCAGCCCACATCCACAGCCTGAGTGTCCCTAGGGCAAGAGGCAATCCCACTGTGTACTTCTGGAACCAGGAGGGACTGCCAGCAGGAACCAGCCCAGAAGAGTGTGTGTCAAAGTGGTGATGGATCTCTAAATTCAGCTAGGTAACTGAGAATGAAATTTGAATCAAATCTGCTGACATCCATTTGTGTGCAAGTCACAGTGCCACTCAGATGCATTCTCTTGGAAGTTTGGGTTATTTTGGTGGTGGTGATGTTGCATCAGAACATGTTCTGAATTTGGTCTTGGACTCTATCAGAAATATTATCAGCACTTGAAAGTAAAAAAGTTCCAGTAACTCTTTCTACGTCATAGACCTCACACTAACTCAGTCCTCTGACTTAGCAAAGTTGCACAATCTGGGTTGGTAAATGAAGGCTTCAGCTACTTACATCTACCTTTTTGCTGACGATGCTCAGTTTCTGGACCTCTACCAGCTGAGAATTTCATACATCCCTTGCCAAAAGGAAAAGAAAGCCACAAAAACAATTTAATCTGCTTCTAGGCCATGCCACAGACTTCTTACACAACTTGTTATAGGGTGCCCTAGGGTGCACAATCCATGGCACCCTTTGTTGTGAACAAAATGCACTGTAAAACAGAACCTTATATATTTTTTTCTATATTATGTCTTCAGTCATCATCAGAATAGTCATGAACTGCTATAAATGAAAAGAAAGTAATCTAGTTGCAAAGAGACTTTTGGAGACAACAAATAAAATACCCCAATGTTTGCTCCCTGCAAACATTTAAAACGTCGAAGAGAAGTGTCTCTCTATACTGGAGGCTGGTATTTCAGTCTCTTCACTGGAAGCCTGGCTAGTTTCTTGGCTACTGTTCCTCACAATCCTCTTCAGAGTCTCCTTCATTGATACTTCAAGCTTTGGTCATTCTGAAAGGCTGGACTAGAAATAACATGGAAAGAAATGAGTATAGCAACTAATGTGATAAAGGAACTTTGAAAAAATATAATTATGACTCTTAAGGAGGATCCAAATGCTTCCCTACATGATCTAATGGAAGAGAAAAACCAAATTCACAGATATTTTAAAGAAGAAAGAAAATGACGACTGGACAAAGAAATGGCACAACATTTATGCACTATGATACATTCCAATACAGAAAAATCAAATAAAGCCAGCAGGAATAAGATTTATTGAAATGATTCATGAGTATTGAAGGTCTGGGGAATGCAGGAGCTGGCACAGAATATATGACATTTCTGGAGAATCATGGCTGGAAAAATTTGTTTTCCCATGCATAAACAGACTTCTCTTTGAGCAACACAGTTCATCACAAAGAGTTATCAAAAATATAATCAAAAGTGACTTTTGACCCCATGACAAAAGCAGCATACATTAGTGCCAAGTTCTGCTAAGTTTTATTTTTCTTATATGGACTCTGAATTTGATCCAGTTATGACTTTAGACCCTTGAGCTTTGTGGCCTAGAGCGAGCAGACCCAATCTAGCCCAGAATTCAGACAGCACAGCAACAACATGAAAATACTTCTGTCCACCTTATTCTCGCTGGAGCCTTGTGCCAGGCTAAATACAGAGCATGGTCCATTGTTCTATATGATTTGAATTAGAATTGTTATCAAACTGACAATCACTTAGGATATATGTTCTTATTACGAGTATTTCTGCTAAAACATTTATACAGCAACAATGGAGATAGGTTACCATATGAAATACTTCTCATCTGCATTCACCTAGAAATTTTATCAGAAAAAGTGTGCTAATCTCTAATCAGCTTACTCATTAAATATTTTAATAAATGAAAACTATCCGACTGCATCTTTACATGTAAGACATTAGAATACAGTCATTACTTAGAAGTCAATTCTGCTGAGCCAAACCTGCAGTTTCAGATTCATGCAGCACCCTGGCCATAAAACTGCCACAGCTTACCAGGCATAGTGAGAGGCTGGGCTTTTGCAGAGAACACACAGAAGCCCATGATGGGGAGAACAGGGATGTTAATATCCTGAGTCTTCTTTAAAGCTGTGGAAAAAGATACACAGATCCCTCCATCTTCATGGACGCTTGCCTCCTTTTGCTAGGAAGTAATGACCATGGAATCACTCCTTTTTGGTGTGCTATCTATAAATTGAGGGCTGTGCAGCTGCACTGGAGGTTTAGCCCTAAGGATACTGTGCTTTTTAAGTCCTGTAAAGGATTTCAGTGAGCAAGGGGTACTCCAAGCTGTGAGTCTGCCTGAATCTGTCTGTTCAGACTTGTGACTAATTGAACATCTCACAAAATGAAGGAAACCAAGGGAAGGCGGTACCAACCAGGCATGCAAATTAAATTGTTACAAAGATATGTGTTGAACAACTTCAGATAAAATTAATCAAATTACTATGAAAAATTATAGGCTGTAAAATTAAAGAGACTGAAGATACTTTTAATCACCCAGTGTTCGTTATCTACTTAAAATACTTTGGGAAGGATGAATAGGAGATCCATTAGGAAGCACATTTCTGCTATTTATTGTTTAGGAAGTAATTGCCGTACATAAGCTAACCTGTCTGCTTTAAATGAATGCTTGGAGAACAAAAAAAAGTGTTTTGTATTTTGGAAAGAAAATGTCTCACTCAAACTATTTAACTGTACTGGCAAAATCACAAGCAAGAAAAAAATTAAACTTCCTCACAATTTCTAAGCCAATTCCAAGATTTGGTGACATGTATTACAAATGCTGTGGTGGAACTGATGCAGGTAGTGTTCACCCAATTTAAGGAAAACCCATCCTGTGTATTCTCTTTTGTCAGCGTTAAATGGCTATGAAACCATAGCCATTTATTCCAGCCCCATACAAACTTTGACCCTGCTCTTCCCTCTTCACTTGGTTTCACAAGTATTAGCCTGACATAGCCAAATCTAGATAAGACTCTCACTGACAGCTGATAGGGCTGAAATGGAAATAAAAATTGACAGTACAAGTTTCTCTGATGTCTGTGGCTCTTGTCATTAACAACCAAAACTCATGCAGCAAGGAAAATCTGCATGGACTTAACTCCCACAACAGAGAAGCAAGCCCAGAAAAAAATTACATTTAGGAAGGAAGATACTGCATACCTAATTCTCTTTCAACTGAGTATGTCTTTCTCTTGATTCTCTTCTCAGATACTAAGAGTCTGAGTCTGTGCACATTAAATCAGTGGAGAAATCTTCCAGCTGTGTTAGGTTTAAATGTGCTCCTTAAAAATCTAAAAATAAAATGGGTTTAAGAGTTAATTTCTCTACACAGTGTAATAGTTACTTGAAAAATAATTAATGATGGTTCCATTTGAATATTGTCCTAAAACCTGCCTCATCCTTACACAAAACCAAACCAAACAGCAAATCACACAGCTTTTGCAAGTCCTTGCAAGATTATTGACTTCGGTAACAATTTTATCTGAGTGAAGCTGCAGTGCTGACAGAATTCAATAGCATAAACTCACTCCTGGAACGACACCAGCTCCCTCTATGTACACCTTGGCAGACACATCTTTTGGCAGAAAGACTGTGATGAGATAGGAAATAGAAGCAGTAAAGCTCAGCCTCAGCCTCCCCTATGTTGATGGGTTCCAGAAGATTTATGGCGTTGCTAAGAAAGGCGCAGGGCCAGGCGTCCTGCAAACCCTCTCTCTGGGGATACTTGCAGAGTTTTGTCTGCGCTTCGGGTCTGGCTGCCTTCCCATGCAAACGATGCATGAGGATTAGCTGCTGTGCCAAAGGAAGCACAGATAATTTTGCCTTGAATTGAATGTTAACAAGTAGCAGACTCTGTGTGAGTGAGGTTTGAAAGGTAATTTTTAAAAGCAGCTGTTTCTTTAAACTTCACTGTACTTTCCAATTACTGGAAAACTGAATGGCTTTCACTTGAAACCTCATGCGATATAGCCTGGTAACTTTGGGTAACAGTTTTGGAGTGGAATCCTTGAATCCAAGGATGAATAACACCATTCCAGCTATTATATTGCTGAAGGTACATTTTCAAAGGCATATGCACACTCTGAAACAAAACATTTCCTTGGGGACAAGACAGACAAAAAAGTAAGTTTTTAAACCTACAATAGTAGGAGCTGTCAGCTGCTGTCTGATTTGAAAGAAGTCAAGAACATGCTTTGTGTTTTACTGCAATAAAGGATACTGTGGCAACATAAATTAAAAATACAGTTATTTGTCTTTGGAAATAAGCAGCTACCTTGTTTCACATCTAGTTGGAAGTGTTTGTCAGGAAAACAATTCTCACAGATGTTGAAAAATATGATTTTTTAAGGTCATACTATTATTAGTGAAAAGTGAAATACTTACCCTGATTTGTTTACTGCTTCACTTCCTAATATTATTTGACTGAAATATGGAGTATTTACTTTCTCTTCTCCATTAATTTAATTGTAATAATGAAGATTTTCATTCTTTTTAACTTGCATTCACTGTGTTTACTATTGTGTTGGCACAGATTTGACACAAAGGAAACTTTGCTTGGTAAAGATGTTCAGTTTCTGTGCTGGAAAGCTGCATGTCCGATTAAAGGCTTATTAAAAAGGTGTTAGCTCCCTGAGGCACAGCTCTCTGAAAGTCAGCATTCATATTGTTTTCTTTCTTTTTTTTTTTTTTTCTGGTTGATTTTTTTCCTCTGCCCCCTGTGAACTTTGCCTATCTTTTCAAACTACAGACTTGAAGAAAACCACCCACCCAGATTTTGTTTTGTCATATAACTCAGAAGAACTGCTGGAATTTTCTGTCCTGTTTTTGCTTGCTCTTACTCTTGCAGTACCTGACAGAAGGTTAATCAGAACTCATTTTCATGCTCTGATAACCTGTGTAGAAAAAAATACAGAAGGCTGGACTATGAAAGCCTTGATTAGTACAGAACAAATGTATCTTAAGCCATGCATGTTAGAATAGTTTTATAAAATTTAAGTATTCCATACAAAATCAACAGCAGGAAGTTCTTCCTTGTCTTCAGAAAATTTACTTCTTTTCATTAAGGAGTAAAATGGCGGAATGAATTTCAGGAGTATATATTTTCAAAGAGAGCAGAAGGTGTTGAATCTTTATTATCAGTGTCTCAGGAAAAACCTTTCCATAGACCATCTGGAATTTCCTAAAAAGGAAACATTAATCCAATTCCACCTGATGAGAGCAGGATTTATTTTCTGTTTTCATATGTTTTATATTAGGTCCTCTAACTGGAAAAAGCCAGTGGTCTGTGGATCAAAAGAGAATCATAGTATTTGACACAGTGTGGCTTAATACTTTAATGGATTTAAAGTTACTACCAAGGAATCTCTGGCAGCTAACAGAAGGATCTCAGCTAAAAGACAGATGCAAGATTTTTTTTTTTCATCACTTGTCTTCCCATTCCACTTCAATTAGGGCACACCACACTAGAAGTATTGGGAGCACCTGCTACTCTTGACCCCAGCATCACACAGAAAGAAGGGCCAGTGCTTTGCAGCTGGGTGGAAACAAGAGAAGTCCCTTGCTTACACAATAGTGCCCTCAGCAAGCAAGTTACCCAACAGCTCAAACCCCACATATGACCTAGTGTCACTTTGGGAATAGAAGCTGTAAGAAATGTCTGTGAGTGACTGCAAAATCTCCTTGCTGCACACACCAGTCCATGGTGTCCTGGCTTCAAAATCACTGAGGTCATTTTGTGCACAGTCCTCATGCACCACCAACACTGTCTTGTGCCCTGGCCTTACATTATCATTATACCTGAAAAATACTCACAATATGGCCCAGGCTGCTGGGAGTTCAATACTTTGCTAATTATTGTCTTGGGATGAGAGTTTGGAACAGGGAGTCACAGATGCCTTCATAATTATTAGTTTCTCAAGAACTGAGGGAAACTGTTTTAATAAAGTGTTGTAGCGCGAGCTGTGTTTTAAAAAACTCCTTGGCCTTAACTCTCCCTCAAGTACCAGTGCAGTACACCCCAATCTTCCTCCAAAAGTGATGCTGCTGAGTTACAGAACTGCTCTGGCTGCAGGCTGTTCTGCAGTACTGCAAGATGTCATAAACTGCAAATCAACAGTCAAGAAGACACTTTTTAAACATTTCATCATAGGGCCCTACCTTAAAGCTTCCTTTTCAAGGTCCAAGAAGTTACATGTTTTTCCCAGTAATCTGAGGAAAAATTCTCCATTACTATTTAGGAACACATGTAGGTCATAAATTACATTAATCTCTGGCTACTAACCCAGCCTGTACTATGACACCACTGCAGCCTCTCAGCAGATGCCTCTGCCACAAGAGCTGGTTCTGTTGTATTGGCACACTCACATTAACTTTCACCTAGGTAGAAACAGAAGTAATACAGACTCACCAGCACACACTTCATCACTGACACTACAAACCCACAGGAAATCCTGCATATATATACATGTAATGTTTGTGAGCCCACTGTATTTATATGATTGTCAAACTGCATGCTGGCTGGATTAAACTTGGTGTGGTTATGCCCCATCACTTACTGAGTAAAGATACTGCAAAGATAATAGACCGATAAACTGATGCTGAAAGTGTTTTACACACAACTTATGCTCTTACTGCTGGCCCAAAATATTTCAGCATGGCTGAAATGAAACTTTCCATAGCAGGCCATAAAATATAATCAAAACAATCACAGAATGAAATCTGTTGTATTTTATATAATAAATAAGAACCTTGCCCAAATCTTGTGTTAGTAGCTGGTTTTCACTCATATCCTGCAGCAGGGTTGCGCCTTAGTGAGGTATTACAGAGTGGTTTGAAAATCATTTTTTTGTTACACTTGTGCATCTTTCCAGGAATATAACAACAGAGACTAAAAGGAAGTATTTGTTTCACAGTCAAAACACACTGTTCCTTCCCTCTGGAGCAACTCACAGGGTTGTAACACCCCTTGTATCTCTCTTGCCCAACAAAAGAGTATGAAAGCAAGAAAGAGTGTAAAGAACATTTGATCCTTAGGCAGTAATGCTTTCTATATGTCCCACAGACCTCTCTTGCATTCCCATAAGGATGAATATTTCATTTCTACAGACTGGGTTTTTCTGCCCCAATCACTCTGACTGCTTTCACTAGCAACCATATTTGATGTGATGTGGTGATCAGCTATCTGCTCCTGTTCCTGTTCAGGATCAGCTGGCACTGAGCAAGAGCTGGGCCACTGACAGTATGTGATGATGAGTTTGGACAAGCAGTCAGTACAACTCAAAAGCACTATCTCCTTTTCAAATGTCACACTTCAGTGAAAAATCTGGGAACTGGAAAAAACACCCTAATGCTATTAGATCTGATTACAGGAATTGAGGCAAAAATGTTACTCATCCTGAGGGAACTGCAAACCACCAAATCATCCTAAATTAAGGAATGCACACAGAGTCTTCTATCATGGTAATTTACAGATGTGTTTCTTTTATTCTCGAGAATTTAAAAATCCTTAAAAGCAATTTTACAAATCAGACTCCCCAATCTAGGTGCATCTATGTAACACATAAATGGCACAATGGACTTAAGCCAGGGGCATTGTGTGCACTGCGGAAGGACAGCCACACCTAAGATAAAAACGGAAGCTCATTTTATAGAATACAGTAGTCCCACACAATAGCACTGGCACAGAAGGAGCAAATGACATCATTCATTTCAATTTCTGCTACCACAGGGGAACTCTAGGTATTCAGGAACTTAATTTAACCAGAGCACCAAAATTAACAGTGATGAAAAACACTACTAAGAAAATAAATTATATTTATATATATTACCCAAAAGAGAAAAACAGTTTTCATGTCACTTCAGGAAAAAAAAAATAAATCACAAATTCCATTTGAATTATTACTAAAGCCTTTGAATCCTAATAACAAAAATTCATGCTTATAAAGACATACACACAAGGATGTCTTTTCACTTTCCTCACACTACAGATCCCATTCCAACACTGAGAAAACACTTATGCCCCAATCCCTTATATGTTATGAATGATTTAATTTATCAGTCTTTCAGCACCAACTTAACAGCTTAATGACAACAACTATGCCAGGACTGCAGATGTTAAGGAGCTTCTGCAAAGGAGTACTTGAAATTTTTGTAGGTTTTTAAGCATGCTTTTGAAGAATCTATTCTTCAAAAAGTCTAGTTCATTCAAGTCACACTCTAATCTGTAAAGCAGCAAACTTGATTATGGAAATTGCAGAATAAAAGTGATGACTTCAAGCCAACGAAGAGGCAGGGAATGGCACACTGGGGGAGCAGCTCTACACCTCTTCCCAGTGTCTGCCTTGTTCTCCAGGTCAGAAGACCACTCCCAAAGAGCAGGAGAGTTCTGTCCCTGCTGCTGGAGTCACTCACAGAACTTCAGAGTACAAAGGCATACCTTGAAAATCTTCTGGTACAAAAAGAGATGTGACCGCAGTGTTGTATATCTGAAGTGGAGAGTAAAGGAAAAAGGGAATAGTGGGGGATAATGTCTGATCCTTTCCTGAACACATGTGCACACCTAAATATATACCAACAGGTTCCCCAAACTGTGTAAAGTGACCTTTCTGAGGGTCTAACACTATGCAGTTATTTAGATCTGCACTTCATAAGGCAGCAAAAGATTCCACCTTAAGATAAAGCAATAACATTTTTGACTGCTCTTGGGAATATTTTCCATTTTCTCAGAGGTTTATTTTAACTTCTCAGCTTCACTATTGCTGTGTTTACTAGTAAGTTGAGCTCAATTTTGAGCTCAATTTCTTGATCCATGATCAAATGTTAAAACAAACATTTTCTACTGCTACCTCAGTGATGTGGCTGACACCACTCTGAAATGAAAAAAAAAAAAATAACCTGGGTATCTAGCAGAGTCAAAACAGCTTTAAAACAGCTTTGCAAACAGCTTTAGCAGAAGAAAAAGCACAAAGGATGATGCATAATTCCAAAAAGTTGTGATTAAATTTGGAATCTAGTAGATGAATTGTGCTCTAGAAATTGTTTTTCCAGCATAGAATTCACATTAAGGCGAGGAAAGGCCAAGGATACATTCCTTAAATGTAATGAAACATGTAATGAGAAGTGAGGCAGAATTACAAACCAACGGCACAGGACTTGTTAGAGAATATGCAGGCAGAATCAAAATTATCATAGAAAGGATATTCTTGACTGTGAGCTCCAGTTCCATAGGATTCCACCTGTATAATCCTCTGTAGACCCTGAATTTTGCAATTTCTTGAACACAAAGTACCACAGGGGTCAGCAGGATCTGACACTAACACAAAGCACTACCACAGACAGGTAGATGACTGCTTAGATTTCATCCCAAAGTAATTTCCTTCCATAAGGAAAATAGTATGAAAAAAATGGTACCTTCTTACTCTAGGCATGCATTCCTGGCTCTTTCCATGATAGTATTAAATACTTGAAGTACTTTAGGACCAAAAAATAGAGCTTATTTTTTTGATAAAATTCTGACAAATACATGCATTCCATTCCCACACAGTGGGACTGCATTCCCCCTTAAGCATCACCAAATAAACTTGTTTGGTGCATTTCAGTGACAAAACTGTAATGGTGTAACAGAGGAAAGAACTCAGTCTGACTTTTTAGATTCAAAACTCAGCTTATGGTGCTTGCATCAGAAAAATCATGCTTTTGATTTATAAATGGAACTAAGTGAGTATAGGAGCTATTCAGACAGAAAACCTATGGAAGGGTCATTTTACCGAGATACTTTTCTGACTGCAATTCCTAGGCACCAACATGCATAAAATTGCTTTCTTCCAAAACAGGAAAATGGGTCTATTGGATTGTTGCTCATAAAGAGAAAAGGGGAGCAGAAATAACTACATTTTTGTTCTGCTTAAAAATTAATGTAGCATGGAATTTAAATTCAAACCTGAGGCCTTTCAAAGATAGTAACTGACATAAGCATTAAATAAAAAAAATAAAAAAATCATACATAACCCAGGGGCATTTTCATCTAAAAGTTATTACAAGACTGGATTTAACAATGAATTCCACTTGACTTTAACTGTCTGAGGTGCAAGTATAGAGGTCTAGCTTAAAAATTCTTCATTGCATTTTTTAAAATACAGAAAAAAAAAAGGTGATTTATTTCAGAGTCCTGATACTCTGGTTCCCACACAGCTGTCTAAGAACAGCCATGATTACTTAGTGCCAGCTCTTCTTGTTTCCAGCTGCTAAATCCCATTAGAAGCAGCTAAAAATGCATTAAGCGTTTTCCTAATATTACTTTTCCGAATAATCAATTTTTGTAGTTGTCATATGGCTAAGAGACAGAAAAGCTGGATCAGCAATAAAATTAACTGCTTCCAGAGATGTGTTCAGCAAAGTTAGAACATACACAGTCTTTGATTTCTGGGGTAATCAGGCACCTAATACCCATAAGGATTTTTTTCTTAAATTCTTGAGCACAGCCCTGGCTGTGCTATGATTAATTGTGAAGTTTCAAGACCGATTAATTTCCCAGTCTCACAATCCTGCTCTCAAGCCTACAACTAGCTAAGGGCAGATGAAAAATTTGACGTGCGTCTGCAATTTCTGTTGGAACGCTCCTGCTTTGAAAGTGGGATAAAAGTCAGGCAATTGGTGGATTATAGTCCTCCATTAGTCCATTGCAGAGAATTGCAGAGGAAAAACATAATTTCAAACAAAAATAAAGCACTGGTTGCTTCTGAAAAGAAATGGAGCCATGGAGCCCATTTGTATGAAGCAACAGTAGTTTGCCAGGACACACTGGAGGTGTAGTGCAAGGAGTTTACAGAGAGGCAATGACATAGTGAGTCAGATGTTTGTTTGAAAAATCTGGAAACAACAATGACAGGATGAATTAAGACAGTAGCTGGACAACACAAATAATGCTGCAGAAGCCAGGGCCAGCACGTGTAAGCCAGGGCACAGAGACTTTCATGTGCACAACATCAACAGGGCTGTTTCTTACCTTTTAAGTGAGACCAGATATAGCTGTGGGAGCCATTCATTGGCATTAACAGCACTCATTTATATTTGGGAATTACAGATTTTTGCTGAGGAATATGCACTTCAGCATCTTGATAATAATTCTAATCAGAGAATAAGAATCAATCTCTTTTAGATAAAAGTATTGTTGCACCGAGATCCTGTTTACTTCTGGTTTTGCATCTTGCCCCTCCAGAAATGTTAGTCAGGCTTGGTGTGTTTCCAATGTAGGGAATAGAATACAGGAATTCCTTAATTAACTTCACACAACCTCTGACACAGGAGCCGAGGCCTCTGCACACGGAAGATGACGTGGAGAGTCAGTAATGGCAATACAAGACACGCGTCCCCCCTGCACTTCCAATTCTCTGCCAGAGAGAGACAGAAGGTGGTTACAGAGCTCTGCAGATGCTCTCATTGGTATCAGTGCAATGGTGTTTCTGTGTCTCTGAAACTGTGATAAGTAAAAAAGAAAAAAAATCCACACAAGACAGATGCTGTCAAAACAATGAAAAATATCTAAAAACGCACACACAAATCCTGAAAAACGCAAATCATGGTCTTTATGATTTGGGAAAAGATGTTTTAGACCGGTTTGTGCTGGCACACAAACCGAATGTAATCTCAAGGCCCTGTGGATGAAAAATCAGTGTACACCCACTAAACCATCTGCAAGGATCTGCCTCAACAGGAAGGTTTCAGCCTCCGTAGATGTCAATTAAAAGTTCACATTGGATCAATCCATATTAATCATAACATCCCCAAGTCTGTCCTGCAAGCAGAGGGACAAAATTATTACTTGGACTGGCACACGCACACAAGACATCTGGGTAGGAGCAGAGCACACCAGAGTTTTTCTGCTCATAGTTATCCGGCGCTAGTAAGAACATGGACTGGAACAGATCGTCCAGCGAGGGCATGGATCCCCCTCACGGGGGACATTCCAGCACCGTCTGGACACAGTCCCGTGCCATGTGCTCTGGGATAGCGCTGCATGAGCAGAGAGGCTGGGCCAGGTGACCCACTGTGGTCCAACCTGACACATTCTGTGATTCTGTGAACTGTGCCGTAGCCACTGTGTCCACGCACCTTATCGCTGCTGTCAACGTTCAGGAAATTACACCTTGGTTCCAGTCACTGCCCAACCACGCCCAGGCTTCTCTAGAGGGGAAAGCCCGGGAGGAGGAACCTCGATCGCCTCTAGCACGCAGCACTGTGTCCTTCCCCGGCTCCGGGTACGCTCGGTTTAATAGGCGCCGAGTATCCCCCGCGGTGCCGGAGCGGAGGAGAGACAGGAGAGCACCCCCTGCCCGGAGCCCCTCACACCGCCTG